AATATTGATGAATACCACAATAGAACAAAATTATTAATCAATAACCTTTTAATCCAGTGCTTAGCACATAAGAGCTCAAACATATTAATATTTATGGGTTTTTAATGACATTAATGATAATAACCCCATTATATCTGAGGTTTATAGCAAGAAAAAGAAATATAATCAGGAGTGTTTTGTGTATAGATTTCATTATAAATTTAATACAACTAAAATCTGCAATGTTAAAATATTTTACTTTATATTAAAATTATCTGAAATAACAGAATTTGTAAAGCCCAAACATAACTATAAAGTACAAGTATATTTTTGTGCCTTTGAGTTGTATTTCTAAAAAAAAAGTATTATTCACATAAAATCTAAGGTGCCATTAATTGTAAAATGCATTATTTTATGTAGTATTTTTAAGGAAAGAAAAATATAATTACATTAGTATATACTATGCTACAAGCTTTGTTATGCTTATAATACTTTACAAAATATTGGAGAAACTTCTCAATGGTGTGGCAAGAAAGAAAAAGTGATCAGCAGGAAATAAACACAATGCAGTAAGGTCTTTGATTTGTTAACTAATGTTTATGTTCTTTAAAACATCATTGCACATACACACATTAAATTGTGGAGAATTCAGTAACACCTACCAAATTATACACTGAATATTGTTTTGATATTATGCTAATTTTAGAAATATCTCCAAAACCTTCTAAGCAAAAGACATTCATAAGTCTTGTGGAATTAAAAGATTAATTGAAATGATTTATATATCTATGTAATAGACTAAATATACTGCAATTAATAAAATGAATTGTGCATATATTAAAAAGAATGAGGTATAAACACATAAAACATAAAGTATATCCATAAATTATTATCAAGCATCACAATAGGTAGAGTAGAACCTAATTGCATATGAAGACAATTTGGGGAAAGATATTTACCAAACCATGAAGAGAGAGTTAAGGGCAAAAATCCAATAATGAAAAACTTTTATTTTACATTTATCACATTTGTAAATTTAAAAAATTTTACACAGTTACTTTGTAATACATTTTAAAAAATATTTCTCTTTACTACAAAATTCTGTGGGGAAAAAGAACAAAAAGAGAATAACTTCCTATTCAATTTCTTAAAAGTCTCTGAAGACAAAGCAAGGTTTCATAAATTCTAATTTGTTCAGTAACATGAAAGCCTAAGAGGCACGGGCAGTTGAATAGAATGAAAGATCGCACTTTTTTCAGAGGGAGGACAAGATTCAAAGTTTACTGGAAACAATTCAAAGCAATTTCACGTAAACCACTTGACCTGCTAAACACTCTGAGCTCTCCCCGCATCTCAGCACTCTCGCCGGGTAGTGGTAGTTCTGACAGAAAAAAGGAGGAGCTCCTGAGTCCAGAAACCTCTCAAAGCCTCCTTCTTGGAAGCCCCTCAACTGGTTAATGGTAGGTGGAAGACTGAATGCATTCCTTATTCCCTCTGGAAAATGAACAGGTCAGGTTAGTGTCTTTCTATTTGATCTAAAATTTTTCTGAATCATTATAATCTAGACTAAGCAAATCACATTGCATAGTTACTTCAAAACCTTTGTATTTCCTTTCGTTTTAGATATTAAAGTCTGGATTTTGAATAGGTGAGTGCCTGTCTCTACAGAATAAATATTGTAGTTGAAAAAGGTCAAGCTTATTTCCCCACAGGGTACCAAAAAATACTGAAGTTCCTTAGAGACTTGGAGATTTAACAGAATCCTAATGGAGGACTGAAAAAGTCTTCCGTTTCTTTAGGAAACTACTAACTTTACTACTGTAATTCTAGTGTGATCTATGCTGCAGTCACCCAGTAATGTTGGCATGGTGGGCCGCATCTCCAAGGCTAGCATTCTGGAAGGCTGAGGCAGGAGAATCACAAGTTTGAGCCCACTCTGGGGACCTTAACAATTATCTCACAAAATAAAAACAAGATGAGGATGTAGCTCAGTGCAAAGGCCCTAGGTTCAGTCCCTAGAAAGAAGCAGCAAACAAAACAAAAATTTTAAAAAATGTTTAAAAACGATGGTTAAAGAATGGAAGTAGTTGACAATTTAGGTGTGATCCTCATTCTGAAGAGTGGTTTTCCTCAATAGACTCTCAAACGGATAATAATTTATTGTGTTCATAAATAACTAAAAATGAACTATGTATCACACAGTATCTTTAGTGATTAATTTCAACTTGTAGCGCACTATGGAAATATTGTTCCTGATGTGAGGGTCCTGTGTCTAGTTTGATGCCCTGTCTAAGCAGTGACTGAAATCACAGCCATCACAGTGAGACAGTCAGGGGTCGGTCCTGGAGGCCTCCCCGAGTGCCTGCTCCGCCACACACCAGCCCCCCGCTGTCAGAAGGAACGGCCAGGCGCTCTGACTCAGAGGGCAGACAGAGGCAAGAGGGACGCCTCGGAGATGTGAGGGGTCGTGAAGCTTCCTGTGATGGCTTCTGTGCTCCACACCGAAGTCCTGCCTCCCTGTCGCCCTGTGCAGCACCATGGGAAGCATGTTCTCTGAGCAGGCTGGTCAGCAGCACACGTTGCTGGACGACAGGATGGAAAAGGGCGTGAGTGTGCCTGTCCCTGGGACACCTGCCACACGCCCTCGGCGGTTTCAGCTCCACCGGAAGGTGTGATGGTCCCAGTTCACCTCCTTCAGGCTCTTGGTCTCTGGTGCAGGAGCAGTCAACCCATGTGGACCGGGCTAACCTGCCTTCACTTGGGAATTGCTTGATTTTCATTGTGAGGCCAGGTTTTCTACAGGCTGTGTATTGAGTGGGAAAAGAAGGTGTTTGCTCCATCCACAGAAAATTCTCTCTGTCCTGGAATAAGGCGCTGTGGGGAGGGCACTGCTATTGAAAAGTACCATACATATATCATCCGTAGCTCGCTGTGGACCATTATAGCTTGTGCACAAAATGCTAAAGTGAAACTGATGTATGAGTTGTATTTCATCATTCACATCTATTATGAAGTGTTTGTGAACGCAAAATGAAAACCAAATAAAGATAAAACCAGTTTCCGTTGTTTCTCAAATTAGGCCAAATTGCTTCTAGTCCATTTTGGTTTTGAACATAGGTAATGACTTTAAAGGCTCAGGAGATAAAGGTGGCATCAGCCATGACCATTTTCATATTCTAAGCTGTGGAATGTTGAGAATTCACTAGAATACTTTGTAAATCAGTAGGACACACTTGCCCTGTACCTCTCCTAGACCCTTAGTTACCTTTCCCCAAACTGTTCTAAGAGACGGGAAACATTAATACTTTACAGAAACTGCAAGACACATTCTGCCTAAATGCATCTTAACTTCAAATTATTTTATGGCATATAACTGGGGTACAAAGGTACAAAGCGAGATGAATGAATCTAAATTTTATGATTTTGAATGTTTTAATTTTGCAGAATCTCCTAGGAGTTTCTTTTAAAAGCCGAATTGATAGACCTTGTCAAAGACCTACATACAGCTTCAAATTCTTTATGTGATTTTGGTTCTTGAATTTGGACCACAAAATACCACCTTTCTAAATTTTGTTGTGCTTTACCAACATTGTTTTATTTGATGTTATTTATCACCTGTTTGCAGTACCTGATGTTTAGATTCACTTTAGGGAGTGGGTACACATACTTAATATATCTTTATTCTTTTTATTCTCATTCCCCTCCCTAACTGCTTCCCTTGCTGTGTCCAGATTCTTTTGTCTCCTTTTCATTATTACTGTTTTACTTTGTTTTGCTTTTTAGTTCATGTTTGGGACATGTAATGATTGCTTTCATTGTGAGTAGCTGGTGCATTCACAGGCAGCATCTTAAATCTTTTTACATTCCCTTCCATACCGCCCCTTCCCCTGGCCTTTTTCTCTTGGACCACTTCTCACTTGCAAAAGAAATTAATTTCATATATTGTTCCCATAATATTCACTCCTAACGTTTTCCAATTGTTCTCCTCTATTACATGCGTTATTTCTCAATACACTCTAATCTCTACTTAATATTTAGAAAAGGGAGATAGTATGAATGTGTTTATCAAAGTAAGATCTTCCCCCCCCTCATTTTATTTCTCTTTTACTCTCTCTTTATCTGGAACCAATTTGCCAAAGGGGGGGGACTTCTTGCTTGCACAACATTTTTGCCTTTGTTGACTACTAGATTCCTCAAAGTTTTATTTTCTACCAATGTTGACCATTTAACAAATCTTCATCTACATGTGCTGTAACACTTCTGACTGTATGACAAAGCTACTAAAGTTTTCTTACATAGATTCCAGGCCACTCAACAGTTTACCTGCAGAATTGGTTTTGTAACATCAAGGAGTTTACCTGGGCATCTGAAAAATACCAGCTGCCTCTCACAAAGTGCCATTAAGCTAAAACTGATTCTCTCCCTTCCTTTCAAGTAGCAAATGTTTATCTCATTGACTGTTGCATTTTCTCTTCTTATCTTGAAAGTCATTGGTCCCTTCGACAGACCCGCCTGCCTGTTTGGTCCAAACCAGTGTTTTATTTTGCTAGCTTGGCAGTGTTTCTTCCTTTGCTAGAGCATTGAATTATTTAATCCTGAACTGATGGGTCCACTCACAAGAAAAATGTTATTACTAAGTAAACAGCGTCTGGTCTACTTCCCTGAAATTGAAAACTTGCTGTACCTGAGTTCCTATACTTTAAATTGTGATTGTACTAAATCATTTAAAAGTCAAATTATTGCTAGTGATTATTTTGGTTGTGTATATAGTTTGTTCCTGTGAAGGGTGATCCTAACATTTCCCATTAGCAAATATGTCTATTTTCTATTCATTGGAGAAAGATCTCATTATATTTAAGCATTTTTCTGGGAACCAAAATACGTAATTTTTGATATGTACTGATTTTTAATATGCATTGAAATTATATTTTATAAAGGCATACCATGGAACTAATACGGTGACACAGTATCCATTATCGTGCATGGATTATCACATATCATATTATCACATGTGTTTTCAGAATTCTACGGACCTTCATGGTGTCTCACCCCCGCCGACAAAGGATTGTGTCGAGCGAATGAAACCAGATACTTCTACGATGCAGTTACTGCAAAGTGCCGTCCGTTTAATTACAGTGGATGTGGGGGAAACGAAAACAATTTTGCCTCTAAAAGAGCATGTGTACGGGCATGTAAAAAAGGTAGGAAGATGATCTTTCTATTAATTTAATACTGTTTAGGATAATAATTGCATTAAATTATAATTATAAATGATTTAATCTGTAAAATATTACTTTCCTTTATTGTAAAAACAAAGAGTAATGGTTTAGTTAACAAATATCTGCTCAAGTGGATTTAGAAAGTATATATTATAAAATATATCAACTGTATTTATTCTGTATGTGTTGTCACAGACATTTTATTAAACTTTGAAATATGAAGAATTTATTTTTAAGGAATATACCAAAATTTTCTTCAACTTTCTCACAAATCAGCATATTTTAACATATGTATTTTCTTCTCAATATGAAAATGGTTATAATCAAATGCAAAGACCATGAAAATGTAAATAAAAACCATCTGTAATTCCAGCAACCATGCATAGCTGTGCTTCTCCTTTTGAAATAACATAAGCATGGATTTCTAACCGAAAAACAACAATCATACCCTATTTTTGCGAGTCATATATGCAAAGTGACTTTAGAGACCAAAGTTTTTCTACGAAAAGACAAATTACAGGCTTTTAAACCAATTGTATCACTAAACTTTAAGAGAAGATAATTTGAGAAATTTTAGGTATAATGTGTTTCCTTATCACTTATAAATTTTTTGCTTCTCCTCTTGTAGGTTTCATCAGAAGAAAATCAAAAGAAGGGCTAATTAAAACCAAAAAGAAAAGAAAGAGGCCAAGAGTCAAAGTAGGGTATGACTATTATGTTAGAAAAATATAAATCTGTTATACTATTAGAATAGTAATTCTCCTAAATATTTACACGAAGTATTTCACTATAACAGATTTCCTTTGCTAAAATACATTGAATGACCATGTTCATGTTATAAGTCTCTAAGGTTCTACTACTCCCAAGTACTAGCTAGTAATACATACACATCAGAGATCCTTTTCTAACCTGGTCCAGTTGCTTATTCTAGGTCTAGTTTATTAACTGTCTACTGTGAATTTATTTTTTTCTTGATCCTAACTATTGCCATTTTAATACTCCACTGTCACATTCCTAGCCATATAGTCCTTTTTCTCCATTTGGTGACCATGTATTTGAGAATATGTTGTCACTTATTCACCAACAATCATGCATGTAATGACATCCGTTATAGCCTATGACCAGGATAAGAAATGTGACTCTTAAGAAACAAGCGATTTTGGGTTTCACTTCTAAAATGGTGACAAACACCTGCTTCTGATGACTATCACTCAATTTTGCATATAGAGAGAACAGATAACAATACAATTCTCTTTAGTGCTTCCAGGCCTACATATGTTTTGTTTTCTCTCTTTGTACCAACCAATACCTCCGGGAATATTGAGCCAAACCCTCCTTGAACAAAGAATATTCAACTTTGCATTATGTGTCTGCCTGATTTTGATTGGCTCAACTCTGGTGGGGGAGGTGCCTGATTACGGCCGGTACATCAGGCGAGGTGGTGAACTACTGTGTTAAATACAGCGAAGAAACATGGAAACATTTCATTAAAAGGAAATTCATTGTATGTCCTTCCTAATTTTGTACTTTTTGACAAAATTTCCTCTGACCAAAAATAGCAAGAATATTAAAAACTGCCTGAATCTATATTTAACCTTTTATGTTTTGCACAAATCATAACCAGTAATTAATGTTCAAAGAACATGCTTATTCCTCTAGAAGAGCTATTACCCTGGTGGAAGATTCTACTGGAAAATCTGTGTCCCGTTCACTCGGGGTTTTCATTAACATTTCTCTGGCATTTATCTTTCCTTCGCCACTGACCACGTGCAACCGCTCAATTCAGCAGCCACCTGGACACTGAGTTTACTTAGTGCTCAGCTCATACATACATCCGAACTTGACATTTAGAAAAAATAACCACCTCATCTTTTGGTTTAGCATCATGATTTCTTTGAACCCAGTTTTGAGTTTTTGTTCTTCAAATGCCTCGCTCATCAAATCAGTCTCTGAATCCTTTTTCTTCCTTTTCCATAAGGTTTGTTCAACACCCGGGCTTTTTATTCTCTACTATGTCTTCGTCCACCAGTATTGAGTTAGTTCCTCAGAAATGTAATATAATTCTCCACCACTCAAAATCTTCCAAGAACATTCTAGTTTGTGCTAGTCCCAAATTCCCACCTTACAAACTCTTCACTAAATAGGTCTTTAGTTATTCAGTTTATTTACCCATGTTGATTTTTCTCTTTAAAAACCCGACACCTTCCACACCTTTCATCTGAAATCAGGGTCCCTGATACCACGTGCAAGGTGGATATGAAAAGTCCTAATGTGCAATTACAAACTATTTTCATCCTGCAGTGCAGTAGTGATTTCATAAGAAAAATAGTGTATCAAGTTATTTGGTTTAAGGAAAATTTTATTTCAAATGTCCAGAACATAATTAATTGCCTTAAACTAGGTCTTTCTATGGAATTTGAAACTCCTGGAAATCAAAACCCCTATGTGAAATGTGCTTCACCTTCACAGTCTTTTTCCTGGACAACAGTGTCAAGACGAATGTGTCCTTACAGTCACATTGGCACCAAGGACATCAACAGCACACTCATGAAATAGCTAAATTTCTACGAAAACAGACATCCGCTGGTTCATTACTAAGTCAATCAACAGATACACTGAGATAGTTTACAGTGTTTGCTGCAGGTGAATATTACTTTACCTCATTTTAAATAAGAATTCTTTGATGATGTGGTCTTCCTGTATTTTGCCTAATCAGGTGCATCTAACTGTGAATTTTCTATAGAATTTCATTATACAGCACACACGTGTATTTATGTACTTTGTTATCTGTATTCAAAATTGACAGGTTATGCTGAACATTGCTCAATGATTTTACTTTTTACATTGTAATAAGTAAAATTTCTTATCACGAGTAATAAACTTGATTTGTACTCTTGACGTTGTTAGTATTTACTAAAAAAAAAGTTTGGTCTTCTTTATCCTTCAGAATCCAAAAACAAAACCTAAATTGTTCTCCCACTTTCACTCTTCTTTTACTTACTGAACTGGAATTTTCTAGTTACTTCTTTTTAATTGCAAGAACGCATACACATGTTGTGATTTCTTATTTATCAAAGAAACAGGATGCTAGACCTTAACAATCCATGTTATATGTTTACTTTGCTGCAGTTATATTTACATCAATTATTTTAGATAACTGTATTTATCTAATTGTGTAATATAAACAGATTGTTTAAACATCTGTCATATAACTGTACAATGGGTAATTGGCTTCCAGCCCCGATGCGGTGGTCCAGCCGTCACAACACGAACATGCCTGAGTTGGGGAGTGAGGACTGAGAAAGGAAAGAGCATTCAAACCTGAGAGACCAAGAGAAGCCTGATTCATTTCACAGGAACAGCTCCTTTTATAGGCTCATATCAACAGGAAGCTTTTAAAGGCACACAACAACAGAAAACACCAAGCAATTGTTTTTATCTTATGCAAAGACTGGATTTTCTCTTTACAAAGGACATCAGATCTGTGGCTGTCTCTGAGTTTCTCCCATTGAAGGGTTAAAAAACAAGTTTAACAAGCAGAGTCCTAGAGAAGTACAAATGTTACATAGATTGTATCAGTGCCTTGAGTGTAGAGGAAGACGTTTCCTTTCAAATGTCAAATGCCAAGACGGCCATGGTCCAGCTCCCACACCCTGACTATTGGGGTCGGTCAAGCTCATCTGCATAACTAGAAAGAAGAAAACCACACAAGGCTAGCCGGGTACGCAGAAGGATTGTTAATTCTTTCATCAGCTGTTCCTATGCTTCTCCTGTTTTGCTGAAACTAGCATTCGAGTTTGGTTTTACCAACTTTTGGCTTTCAGTCCTTTCTTTCTTAGGGACTTCATCGTAGGCACATCTGTGTTGGATTTTCCACATTCGGATTAGGCAGTTCCTCGAGCTCAGCCTTTGAACTTTTCCAACCACATAGCTAGTGTCATGGCTAGAAATATTCAAAGCCTTTTTAAATGGAGAAGTTAGATAATAGCAGTGCGGAATAATTTCTTTTACAAGAGGAGGAGGAACAGGGAAAAGGAAGCTGGGAGAGGATGGAGAGGAAGGAAGGAAGGGCAAGGGAGAGAAAGAGATACATTTTAAGCATATAATATGCAATAAGTAAAACGGAATGAGGCAAGTAAGGTAATCACCTCAGACATATTTAAAGAAACACTAAAAAAAAGTCAGTAACCAAAATAAATAATACTTCAATGTGCTATTTTTAAAAAACCAAAATTAGAGCAACAATCCATGTTGAAGAAAATATGAAAATTTGTTGAAAGACAGGACAAGTAAATGCATCTGAAATCTGAGGCAAAAAGAAAAACTAGTAATACTAATGGCATATTGATAAATGCAAAGGTATTTCAAAGATGATCCTTGCTTAATATAATGAAAAATGTTAATATAAAAATTAAAGGATAAATTGTCATTCCGATATCTGAAGAGAAATTATTTCATAAACATTTGTTTCATGAGTAATACTTCAGCAAACTAGAGAAGAGATAGATATCTACTAAAAAGACAAAAATACTCAGTGGTCAGATGTTTAAAACATTTCTACTAAAGCAATGACCAGAACTAAGATGCTCTCTGTTATCTTTTCTATCCAACTTATCCAGTCTCCATTTTAAAGCTAACATAAAGAAAAGAAACATCAATCAGGTATAAATATTATTATGTCACATTTATAGTACACTTCTCATAATTAAAAATACAAGAAAGTCTGAAACATAATATGATGTTGTTAACTTCTTTAGTATCATAATTAAAAATAATCCTAGAATTCAGTGAAATTGTTCTGTGTAAGTTACATGTACAAAATCAACAGAATTTCTATACATTAGTATGAAAAAGGACCGAAAAATAAGAACTACCTACAATAGAAATAAATAAAATGAATGTATCTAACAGTAAATTCCATAAATCATGATTTTTTTGGGGAAAAAAAAGATGTATTACACTGATACATGCACACCCATGTTTATAGCAGCACAATTAATACTAGCTAAATTTAGGAAGCATGAACACCAAGCTGAATCCATCAAGATGAATGGATAAATTAAATGTGATATATATATATAATATATACATGATAAACTTAATTCATTCTTTCCACTCTTCTGGAAAAGATGGCCACATTCCTGTTCATTTGAGAAAGATGTTCATAACTGTGTCTTGTCACCAAATACAGAGTTCAGTAACAAAAACATTTCACCAAATGCTTCTGTTTGCAAGTCAAACAGACAGAAGGAAGGACACACTTGAGTTATTTGTAGGAAAATGGGTGCATCCTGAAATCATTATGCAAAGTGAAATAAATCAGACACAGAAAGTTGACTATTGCATGATTTCTCTTATGTAGGAAACTCAAAATACGATTGAAAGAACAGCATATAAAGTGATGGAAAACAGAGGTAGCCTTTGCTGCAATCAGATGGGGATCTGGAATTGGGAGGATGAGGGGAAAAGTAACATGATTAAGATCTGATACATATATGTACCATTTCTCCAGGATAAATATAGTCATTATGTAAACATATACCCCAAAAAGAGAAATATGAAAAATTTGTGATTTTTCTATAAAATGGAGTACTACTCAGCCATAAAGAATGAGAAATTAGATTCATTCATAGGAAAATGGATACATATTGAGGATATACTCCTAAGTGAAATAAATAAGTCACACATGTGTAAATACCAAATATTTTCTCTGGTGTGAATAAACTATAATAGTACATAAGATCCTAATGAGATAACTGACATTGTGAAATGGGAAGAACAGGGCTAAAGGTGTAGGGGAAGTGGGAAGGGTAGGGGGAAGGTAATAAAGGAAAGAAAAAAATAGGAAAAAATGAGAAAATGGAAATAAAATGTTTGTAAATGGGGAGGGGAGGGGAGGAGGGGTGAAGGGAGGGCAGGGACAAGGAGAAAAAATGAGAACCAAGACCTGTCATGTAAAGGTACAAGATCCCAGTAATGAATGTAACTGTACTATATATCTAAAATGTACAATAAACTCAATGAAGAAAAAAAAGAAATATGAAAAAGTCAAATACTGAAAGGATTTTGAAAGTATTCATTCTCTTTGTAATTCATTCTTAAAGAGGCTAACCAAATTTAGTCAAGGTTATGTCGCCTAAAACGAGAATTTTCTACTAGCAAAATATGTTATTTCCATCTACAATTTATCCTGGTTAGTTTTAAGTCTTACCAGCTGCCAAAATTATCAGCATTTCTTGTCAGCATTTCTGATAATTTGCTGTTCATCATCCTTACACTACATCAGCCGAAATAATGTCCTTGAGGTTCTTACTCATTTTTAATCTGTGTGTTTCACAAAGGGTATAATTCTAATTTACTGAACTATCCTTCCAAATCTGAAGACAAAAGAAACTGCTACTTCCTTCTTAAGCAGTTTTTAAATTCAGTAAGCAAGAATTTAGACATCCCTATAATCTTTCATTTCCAACGTAGCCCAACTTTTAACAGAGTCTTTCACAAAATTTGAAGATCACTTAAGGGAAATGTTGAGCGATTCAAAATGAGAACAGCTATAAGCTGCCTAAATGATTCATCTTGCCAAGAAATTGCTCCTCCAGAGATGAAGAATTAAACAATTGACATTTTATACTCAAAATATCTGCCAGTGTTCAGTAAGAAAGTCATTAAAATTGTAAAGCTAAATATATGTGGGAAACTTTTTATTTAACTGTTTCTTTATCCCCTTTATTTTTCTTTTTCACAACCTACACACACACACACACACACACACACACACACACACCCCAGAGCTGCCCTATCTTTCCTAGCTGACGGTAAACTATCCAACGCAAATGAAAAATATTTTAAAGATTGAG